TTGACCACTTTTTTCCTGCTGGTCGCTGATGGCCGATAAAGTTCTTAAATCATTTACATTTTCCTTGCCTTTTCTTTATTTTTCCTTCGGTGTGGTTTTCATTTGCTTAATGCTTGCGTTGAGTTTTTGTTTTAACGCAAGATTCAGATGCGGATTTATGTTTTTTAATTCCATTAGAGCGTATTTTCCTGGGGGAAGATTAAGATAATTACCAGCGGTAAAGACGGTAAACTAATACGGAGTAAAGGCTATTTTAAAAATAAAGCGTTTAAGAATGTTAAGCCATCTGTGAAAGGTTACAAAAAAACTGTAGTTTTTGCCCCAAGATTTTTTTAACAAAATATAGTTAATGGCTTGAAAATATTTTTCGTTGAAATATTCACGTTTTTTTGTTTGGATATTTGGTACATGGAATGCATGTACCAACAAAACAACCAATGCTAAGCCAACATAAAAGAAGAATAAAACCCTGAAATATTACATGTTTATTTGACGTATAACTTTCGTTATCAATTTCTACCCCCATAAATAAGCCATCGATGTTTGTTCAATTGTAAGCGAAACCACAAAAGCAATTAACAAAGACACAAGGTTAATTGGCAGCCCCCCGACCTTCACTCCCCAATTTCAGAGTCCCTCCTTCTATGGTTAATGTAATGGACCGCAATTTACGTCAACTTAATACTCATTTCTGGGCAAGAGTTTTTCGGCTGCTCCAAGGATATGTGTGTGAATGGGGAGCTGGGTATGCCGAATGGGTGGTCCAGTGAGGTTGATTTGCTGCTCCATTTCTCGCACCACTCGAAACGCCTAGGTAAGATTTATGGGAGTGTGGGGGAGTGTAGTCATTTCTTGACTCAAAGGACCTCAAGTGTGCAACGCAATTTGGTGAAAGTATCAAATTTCTCCCACAAAACACTTTCACCACGGCATCGCCAGCTTCCTTTTGATTTTTTTCCTGCTACTGCGGCCACTGGACGTAGAAAAGTAAACAGAAGGTTAATGGATTTGACACACGGTTCCCAGGCATCTACGGCACTTGGGCGTGAAATGGATATGCTTTCAGGCTAGGCACACACGATAAGGTCGGAGAAGGTGGAACGAAATCGGAGGAAAGGACATTGCTTTGTTTACTCACAGCACATGTAAAGATCCTTAAAGATGTGGTGGTCCAAAAAGTACAGCTCTATGAGTTTATTACGTTAGGTTATTATATAAGTCTATAGGAATTGCATTTTAAGGCAGAGAACGTTTTTTAAAAATTTTAAATATATTTGGGTTTTGGGAGTCCTTTATACACTACTAAACTTAATCTATCTATCCACATCGATCAAATTGAATCTACAAAAAAAATCCCATTTATCCTAGAAATCTCCAAATCGATTCCAATTTTGCTCTACATTTTTCCTAGCTCAAGTTGCCTTTGCACTTGAAGCTAATGCTTGACTTTCTGAGCAACTTTAATATGTTTTCCCACTCTGTTTGGAAAATTCACCCACCAATTCGCATTGCTGGTCGTGTTTATTTAAACTTTCGCTGCACGTCCTCGAATCCAGAAGCTGCAGGCTCAAAGTTCCAATCAGTCGTGCCTTTTGCCGTCTGGCTGACAATTGGCCAGGACACTCAGGACACTCAGGACATCGCCCACTCCGCAGCGGCACGTGCTCGCTGGGGGGATCGAAATAAGGCGAAGAAAACTGCAACTGTTTACGGGAAATTCGCGCAGTTTTTTGCTCCATTTCACTTTCACATCCACATTCAAATAACAAATAAATGCAGCTGCAAATAAATCATGTGCGAAGGTGTCCTTAGCCACCGCAGGCAATCTGCGCCACTGACAGTTTTAATGCCGAATGAAGTCCTGTCTGCCCAGCCACTCCCCCTTTTTGCCACACCCCCCAACCACCTCCCACCACCCACTCCCAAGGTCTCGCACTTGTGGCATATGTGTGACGTTTCAATATCCTGTTGCGTGATTTTTATTTTCATATTTTTTATGGAGATTTTCCCGGTGCGTGTGTGTGAGTATGTGAGGTTGTGAGAATGCTACGTGAAAAGTCGCAAGTCACAAATCAAAATGCTCGCCATTGTTTGGCTTCGGTTTTGGTTCCACTCTGTATGTTTTTGTTTTCGCATGTTCTTCTTGTTGGCTTCGCTTCGTTTAGGCCTTTGAGCTGTCTACTTAGGGGGTTTGGTGTATATACCCATAAGGGGTTTGGTGCTTCAGATAAAGAGTCACGCCAGCAGCCAATAAATCAAAATATGTATTGCTCGCCCCCATAACTCGATTTTTATACCGTTTTGCGTTAGTTGTTGATTTTCTGATTTATGTCACGGTGATTTTGCTTTGTGTTTTGGATTTTTGATAAGGCAAAAGTTCAAATTGGGAAAGTTAATTGAGCAAGAGTTCACTTTAAAAAATGCTATCCTGATAAATTAGAAAGTTTCGTATATTAATCTGGTTACCATTACAAAATTCAAAAGTATATAAAAAACTGTTTTCAAGCAACTTAAGATCTTACAGGTTTTCCTTTTTAATAATGGATTTCTGTAAAAAAATCTATATCTTTTTCCATAACGTATTTTATTCATCCAATTTCCACACATATTGCACTACCTAAATCCACAACTTCCGCCCTTACTGAATTGTAATATCCATTTACTACAAGAGCTGGCAAAGTTTTCCAATACCATTTGCCATAATTCTGCTTTGCACATTGACACCTAACCGAAAGGCGTTCAATAAGAGCCAAAAGACAAGGCGGGCAAAAAAATGGAAGGAGCCAGGGGATGGCTCTAAAAAATTGTGAAAAGCACTCGAAATCTTGGACAACACTTTTCCGACTTGGACATGGACACTTAACTGACAATGTCTGACCTTTTCAGCAGCAGAAGTCGACGAAAAGTAAAAGCAAAATTTAAGCAAAATCGCACGAAGACATAACAAAATTTTTGATGTATGTACAAATGTGGGGGGTCCGTTGTAAAAGGGAGGGATTGGAAAATGCTTACGTGATGTTCAAGTTTTTTGTGAAGGTCGCAGGGAGGTTAGGGGAGGAAAAAGCAAGGAGGAGTTGGACAAGTCAAGTCAGCGCATTGTTGCATATGTAAAGAAAAGCCTGGAAAACGGAAAAACTCCAAAGGGAAGGGCTGTGAAAATGAAGATGGAGACGGCGCCTTTGTGTCACAAGTTGCCAACACATATTTCCCGACTCCACGAAGAGTTCCATAGTCAAACTTAAAACTGTCAAAAGTTTAGCCATCTCTTTCTAGCTGTTTGCACCCATCTCTTTCTCCGCTCCTCTACCCGTCTATGTCTATACGTGAGGCTTCCACATTTGGCCGCCTGTCAACAGCTGCTCCTCAAACGCAGTTCAATATTGATTCAACTTTCTGGCCAACAACTCGGCTATTAAAAGCGCATTTAAAGCCGTGAAAATAGAGGGTGATAAGAGGTTAAAGGGTGTAGAATGTGGTGTTAAGGGGAGAGAAAGTCGCGTAGCCGCAAGCAATGGCGTTCTCTGTTTTATTGGAAGCTCACCTTAAGCGCTTAATACAAATTTGGATTCAGAAAGCAGGTTTCACACCGGAGAAAAATTTGCAATTCAGTTGGAAAAATTAAGTGACACATATCTATGCGTGGAATGAAAATAAAACTTTCTAGTCCTATGTAATAATTTCAGGATAAAAAGGTTTAAACTGCCTCTAATCACCTTCTCCGACCACACCATTGAATAGCCCCAAGGACAAGCAAACAACAGCTGCCTGCAAGTATGCTACAATAAACTGTACTGCACTAGGTACAGTAAGGCCTGCGCCAGGGGACAGCACTAAGGAGGTCTACCCATAGAAAGTCCTTGAACCAGGATGCACTGTTTTCAGGGGAGTAGTGAGTGTGAGTGTTGTTCCGTCCGCCGGTTGTTGCGTGTTTACGCAACGTAACCAAAGTCAAAACCTCGATTAGGATTCAATCTGCTGCTGCGGGCAACACTGGCTACGTTGTTTGTCCTTGTTGTTGTTATCCTATGACCCCATCCCACCCCAATTACAGCCCCATGCATACCCACATCCCCTTTTCACTGAATCCACGCAGGTCAGGCAACAAAGTCAAACCGATTAAAACACACGCACGGGGTTAGAGACAGACAAGTCGGGATGGAAAGGTTATGTTTCAGACTAGAAGATACCCATTAAAAAGAACATTTGGGTTGGTAGCCAAATATAAGCTGAAATGAAAAGAAATGAGATAAAAAATGTCATAAGCTCAATAAGATAATAATAATAATAGAAAAATATTCGGAATTGCAAGAGGTACAGAAATTATTTAAAACCCTTCTCTTAGATATATGACTAAAATGTTTAAAATGAACATAAAGGTACAGAATGTATTATGTGATGTTTTTGAAAACGATTTCTATTCACATACATTTAAGTTGTTAAGAAAAAAATGCGTACAGCATACCCCTAATTTAAACATTAAGTGAGTAGAGGGTACAAAAAGTGCACAGACAGGACCTCAACTCCATTGTCCGGCCGTGTCCTTTTGTGTATGCATAGGTAGTCGCAACGTAGTCCACTCGGATACAGTGGAGCTCTGAAACTCCGGAGCGGTATTCTTCAAGGGGCAATTAACTGTTAAGCTTGCAAACAGCGGCAGCAAAAAAGTGAAAAATCAAGCGAAAAAAATAGTTGTCTCGCTTGATGGAGCGGTATCCGAGGGATGTGTGGCGGGACTTGCATAGATTAGATTTCAGCTGGAGCAGGCTGCCGCCACCCGGGCACCCGGCCACGCCCCCCTGTCCGCCTCTCTGCCTCTCCGGGAATCCACGATCCCCGTGCAGTGGCGAAATATTTGCAGCTGCCACAAAAGCGGGGACCGCACAGTGGCGACCATAAAAGAGCCATTAACGCCAGGAGCTCGGACCAGCCACCGCCCTCTCTTCGCCCCCTGCGCATTTCCTTGGGGATAATTTAAAGCGCTTAAATTCAGGGCGGTGAAATTGCTTGAGTGGAAACTGTCAGCAACATCAGCGCATCCAATTGTCAATTAGCCAAGGTGCAAGAAATTAAATTAAAAACCGCAGAAAACAGCGAAGAAATCAACAACGAACAAATAAAAAAGAGGGTGTGACTCCACCTTGAAGATTGAATATATTTTTGGTAAACTCCTCTCCCAATTGGGTCGTTTTCACACAAAAACACCAGCGAACACGAAACCAATTTAAGTTGAAGAAAAACAAAAAAAGACAGTCATTAAAAGCCTGCTTAGATAGCCCAAAAATATATACTCTTTAAAATGTTAGTCTTTATTCTGTAATCGATTCATTTTAAGTTTCACATGGTTTCGAATTGTTTCAGTTGTTAATTAAAATCAAAGAATTTTTAAAAACCCAATATAGTAGTAACATAAATGAAATTAAGGTAAAACCTTTAAAACGATCAAAATACCATAATAAGGAATACCATATTTTACGAAATGTATAAATCTGTAATTTTAACTTTTAAGTATTGGATTTAAATTAATTGATTAATCTTTTGATTGCAGTGCTTGGCTATTTTCTAAACTTATTTCGTTAATGCACTTCCAAACACACAATAAATTCATAAAACTGCTCCAGAAGAGTATAGAAAGGGGAGATGGAACCCTAGACACTCGAAGGACACTCATCAAGGAGCAAGGACAGGACCACGCCCAGCTGTCTCAACAGTCTAGAGCAAATTAATTTGTCGAGTGTCCGTTGCAGCCAGAGAGCCTTGAAACGAAGGCCACTCTGAAGGTGCATCAATGAGTTGGCAATGTGGAAAGGATTTTCCTATTTTCCCCATCCTCCCCATCTACTATTTCCCCCTTCCTTTTCCACCCCACCACATTGTGGAAAAATCTTTCAGCGGAAATCTCAATCTGCGCTTGAGCAAATTGTTGTTTAAATAAAAATTTAAAGCAAATTGCTACGCGGAAGTAAATCGTTTTGTGGTAATGGCGGATAAAAAATGTAAGCCACAGCATATCAAATTACCCCGCAGATGGAAGAGGAGATGGAACCAGATGACAAAGTGCGTGGTTTCCGGAGGTTGGGAGTGTAACAAGGTGTAGCCCAAAGTAAGTCAGCTCCTTGATAAGTGGGCACTGGCTGGGGGTGGATTCAGCCCGGGATGCGGTTGACAGTCGGGCGCGTTTTGATGCGATGCTGAAAAATTGTTGCTAATTTTTTAACAGTCAACGAAGACGGAGATTGTATCGCATTTCAGGGGAGACGCCGTCGAGTGCAAATGGTTGGCATTTTAATTTTATTAGAACAGGAGCAACAAGCATCATAAGAAAATCCCTTAAAGGATTTTAAGTTGTAGATCTAACTTGGAGATAGACGATACAGAAGCAATTAAGGAGAATCGCTTGGCATTATAGGCATTATAGACTTACACATATTTAACTAAAGTACTTAGTATCAAAACTCATATGCAAATTTGGTTAATTATTCTTTAGAAATGTGTCAGGGATTTTGGGGTTCCAGATCTATCATACAATTTTACTCGACATATAAATTATGTCTAAAACTTGAGATGCCCAAAATAATATTCCCCGGATGTAAAGAATGCACCTTTCACCACAGAAACAGAAGCTCATTGTCTTTTATACAGCTCCCCAACCGATTTCCCAATGCAATTTAAGCAGCCGCAGAAAAATGTTGCCAACATATTTTGCACAATGTTTTCGTACGCACACAGGAGCAAAAAGGGCAGACGAACGACTTGAGGGATTTTGCTGAAATGACATTTGGCTCCGCATGTGACAGGATGTGAAGGAGCAGGAAGGGCAGGAGGTACAACAAGTACAGGAGCAGCCGTTGGCATTGAAAAAAGCAATTTAAGTCATGAACAAAGCTGTAGGAAGGAGTACATGGTATAATCGCTAGGTAGGTAGTTGGAAGTCAGTATTGAACTGATTTTGGAGATTTGTTTTGGACCCAAATTGTGAGTACTTTCTAGCCTATCAAGGCTACATAATTAAAATGTATAATTATTAATACATTTTCTACCATACTACAAAATATAAATTTTTAGTAAAATTAAACACGCCATTTTTTATTAAATCATAAAATACAATCAATTTATTCTAAAAATAATATAGAGAAACCAACAAATAAAGGCCTTCTGTTAATTTCCAGAATAGTACTTTTTCACTAAATAAATCACCTAAAATAGTACCTTGGAATCACAGTATCTCTCCCCACACTTTAAGCTAGAAAACACACAGATGAATGCGAACAGTGGCACATGCATGCCAATTGTAGCCATCTTCCTGCCTTTCGCGCCCATCACTCATCCGCAGGGTGTGCGCAAATTTTGATAAATTGCCGCCGTTACCTTTTGGCCAACAGTTGTCGGGCGAAAAACCTGCATACATATGTTGTCTGGCAGATGAAGGGACTCAATCCGGGAAGGTGAAATCAAGACAAATGCATTGCACTCTTCAAGGAGAGAAGTGTACGCCATTAATCTTAATTGAAATCCAAGTCGGCAACGGCAATGGAATTGGAAAACTTTCCTTTATAGAGCCAAGCAAACAGGAAGCGAGCAAACAATAAATCTGCGAAATTATTAGCAGCGCCAATCGAAATCGAAGTGCAAACTTGCAAGGAACTCTCGAAGAGAATGGGAGAAGATTTTGGGGCAAGGGGAAGATTACTTTCAGCCAGGCGTGATAAATGGCAGAGTGGTGAACCACAGGGAAGTTGCGGCTAATTGAATTTAATTGCCCACTTAATGGTGCAATGAGCTGATGACCAATGCCAGCCAAGAAAACGAATCGAATTGCCAAATGAAGTACAAGGTATGGAGCAAAACTTGGGAGGAAAACTAATAAGAGATGGGAAGAAAAAAACCAATAAATAAAAATGAGTAAGCAAGCTTTAATAATAGTACACACCATGCCCTTGGCTGCTTTCAAATGCTTTCTGAACTCCTTAGCTATCCTACAAAAAATAAACAAATTTATTTATTTATTCGTCATATTCATAATTTTTCCCACCTTTTCAGCACGTTGATTTTGTCTTGCAGCTCCACCGCATAACTATTTAGTAGGATAATAAGTTGCTTATCCTTTTCCAGCAAGTCCATTTTCGCCTCCGCTGAAGTTACGTAGTTTATGCGTCCTTTATATCCCACAGCCTTCGAGACTAGTCCAAGGGTGATAGGAACCATAATTTTAAGGTTAATTCTTATCATTTCTAGGTATCATGAACAGCATCAAATAGAGCCTTATGAATTCGGTCGGTAAAAGGGTTTAAGTTGCATGTTTAAAGCGATTAAAGTGTGACAAATATTGATTTTCTGTAGAGAATTAAAATATTGATATAAAATGGTAAGTGAACAAAATCCAGAAAGGTAAATAATTTCACAATATATTTATATTTATATGCAGTCTGTAGCTACTGATCAGATTTTACTAGATCCCACTTTTCACACAGGACTAAGGATAATCGCTTAAAATTAAATTGAAAAAAGTGTAAAATCTATTCCATAAATGTTTGATTTCCTTTATAATATACGGGTTGAATAAACATCTGATCCCATTCGTGTATCCAGGCTGCCATGGCTAAAAAAATTGCATTTTTAGCCAGATATTAAATAAAATTTTAAGTACTTACCCCATTTGGAGCCACCGAAAACGGGACAAGCGGCATGTAACGTCTTCTGCTCCACATCGTGGGTTTCTCCATTTAAATTATACCAGAACAGAACCTTACCACGCTCCGCTGGTACTTTAATTTTTACCCACGGAAAAATGGTGGCACCACCATGTGGGACATCATTAAGCTAAAACAAGAAAAAAGAATGACTTTAATTAAATGGTTTGCAAATGATTAGCTCGATGATAAACTCACATAAAAGATAGCTGTGGCGATCCTATCACCTAAGACTTTAGTATCCGAGTTCGACTCGTTGTAATAGTCATAGTGTGAAGCGTAGTGAGCCCCGAATCCGTACTTGATGACATTCACAGGAAATCTGTCGTGGACTTTCAAGCCAGTGATATCACGTAACCTCTGGGTGAGGCGATCTAACAGAGGACCACCTTTTGGATCCATATTTTTGTATGGCAAAAAGACTCCCAAAGCGGTGCGTCCGCTGCTCACTGTACCTATTTCATTTTTAAACACTTGGGTGGGCTTCAGTTTCGGTTCCGCCAAGCGCTTCAACTGCTCTATATCTTTATCAGGCAGAATGTCATGGTATACGACTATATACGGTTCCAGGGAGATCTCCTCCATCTTAAGCGGAGCTAAGATTAGAAACGCTGATGTGGTGGTATTATATCGACAGTGAAGCCTCGAAGGCTTTGGAACAAACGAGGAACGACACAGCTCTTTGTAATAATCTGGCAAAATGGGCGACAAATCATTTGCCTTGAAGGGATTAGATTCGAACTGGGCCAGCAAGTCAGTTGCATTCTCTGCGAGGTCGGGCTGCGTCAACAGCACTTCTTTAGCTTGATCTTTTAGACCTAAATTTGAAAGTAAAGTTTTAATAATATACTGGCATTACTAAGAGCATTATTGATATGACAGCCTTAGGGGCTAAAATAAGGATACAATTACCTAATTCCATTAAACATCGTGTCTGCAGCAAGGCTACGTCCTTATGAGTCACTCCCAAGACTTCATGGACATCTGAATACAGTCTCTTCATCCGACTTTTTGTGTTTTTCAACCACTCAAATGACTTTTTAAAATACCCCCACTTGAAGTACATCTTTGCAATTTGGAAGCAGTCCAGAGCTGAAAGTGTAGATCTATGGATAGATCGCAGTTAGATATTACATAACGAAATCTATTTAGGGACTTACTTGTATTGAACGTTATCGATAAGACCTTTGGCCATTTCCCAAGGCTCCATTCCATAGGTTTCTGCTATTCGGAACATGGCGGCAGTCGCTTCATCTGTATCCGCCTGCCAGGGTAATTCTGGTAGTTTTTTTTTTAGAAAATCGATTTGTTCTGCAAACAAAGCGAGATAGAAAGGTAGTTTTGAATCTTTATATGTTTCCTTTCCTACCTTCACCGACTGGCTTTTTCATAAACTCTTCCAGATACTTCCAATCCTGATACATATGCCGAATAAGAGGAAAACTGTGAAGAGGATTTCCCATATACTCCTCTTCTATACCCTTTGCTGCCTCCAGTGGCTGTCTTATCTCCCGAACTAGCCTGTAAAAAAAAACAATTACCATTTTTTTTTCTCAAAGATATACTAGCTCCAACTTACCTCTGTAGTTTTTCCACCTTTTCCTCGACTTTTTCGGCATATTTCTTTAAGTTGCTGATCAATTCGGTGTCCAATTGCATCAAATCCATTTTCGCAGACTCTGTGATGAGAAACTCCTTGCGATTATCTAACTCCACAAATCCATTAGTTTTCCAACACATTAGAAAAAATATGAAAATGTGAACACATCCGAGCAGGGTCATGTTGAAACTGATTAGATCGGATAGTAAAAGGGCCTTTGAAGCATGTTTAATGCATTAAAGTGCAACTAATGTTTAATTTTCTGTTAAAAAGGAAATAAGCAAATGAAAAAAGGGGTTAAGATACACGAATCTAATTATACAAAAAAAATCTAATGATTTATTCAGGATTTTAAAAAGTTATCCATGTTTGCAGATGGTTTAAAGTAATTATTGAGCCTTATAAGGTTAATTTTATACACTATATATAAGTGAAATGTCTGCCCAGTTGTAAAAGCGCAATCGCTTATTCATCTTTCTTTAAAATAAACTTTATCATAACTGAAAAAAAAGATAAGAATGTAAGAATAAGACAATTAATAGGTAATATTTACGGAATTTACCTAATCCTTTGCCTATGATATTTGGACACACCGTAGTTGAATGTTCCTTATGATCCAGTGTGATCAACACGCTTCCCCTTTTGGGTTCCACAAAAATGCCTTCATTTGGCATGGTTATGGCCCCACCCAAAGGAACGTCTTTAAGCTGTCAAAACAAGTGCAAAATTATGAAGATCGTTTAAAACATATGTCAGCTCTACTTACAAATATCATTACAGTCGCCTCAACATCCTCCAAATCGAAAACTTTGAGTTTGGGAAACTAAACATTGGAATGAAAAGTCCATGTCAACGATGAAGTCAAATCAATCAAAATTTAAAGAACCTATAGTTTTTTGTTTTATTACCTTGTTGGTGTTCCGGAAGAGATTGAAGATTTCGAAGGTCTTCAACTGGTCGTATTCGACTATGTAAAAGGTTTCCCAAACATTTTCCATTCCCGTCATGTCCAAGACCCGCTCTTTGATGCGCTTCATCACCGGACTGTATCCATCGGAGATGGAACACCCGACGACGCCCTTTTGAAGCTCGAACTGGACATTTCGTGGACAGCGTTCGTAGGCGTTCTCCACGTGCTGTATTTCCGTTTCGAAAATGCTGTCCGGATAAATAATGGTGTAGGGATCCCGGGCAAGCATCTCGTACTTCAAGGGAGCATATGCCAGGAATGGATCTACCCAGTTATTATATTCGCACAGCAATTCGGCCTTGTGGGCGTAAAATTCGCCACGACAATGGCTCTCCAGACCGGTGGGATCTTGTTCAGGATCGAGTATGGGTTCCATGGGGTCCCTCAGACTAAACAACTCCATCTGGCCAAACTCCTGTATCAGATGCACATTCTGGGAATTCAGATTCAGTGCTGATCCATAAGCATCATAAACGCCTTCTCGATCTGCAATTGATTTGCAAGGTTGAATATTTCGTTCTATAAATCAAATCAAATATAATATACATACTCAGTTTGAACAGGGTCCTTGCCAGATCTCGATAGACTTGCCAGCGTGGTGCTCCCAGTAGATCGTACAGATCACTGTACCTTGAGTGGGTGTAGTTATGGGCAGCCACTTCGAGCCATCTGGCTGCCCCCAGGTAATCATGCTCCTCATACAGCTCCAATCCCAAGTGATAGCAGTCCAAAGGCGAAAGATGCAGGGGACTTAAAGAATAAATATTTCCAGTTAATTGAATATTACAGTATGGATTTCAAACCTCTCGAATTCATGTTGTTCTACTAGATCAGCGGGTTCGAAGTTGTAGAACTGACTCAAACTATTGACATCCTTGGCCGCCCCCTTAAAGTCCAACTTTTTAGGGAGTTGCGGTAGTAGTAGCTCCATTTTGGCTATTTGCTCGGCGCCCACCTGCTCCTCCATATAAACCTGCCAACTGACCCAGTCCTGGTGCATGTGTCTTATCAATCGAAAGGCATTTAGCGGATTGGAAAGGTACTCTTCCGGATAAAGGTTGGCCTCGTCTATATCTTCGATGTACTCTTCCAAAGAACTAAGTAAGTATCAGTATAATTAGCTCTCAGTTTTATTTACAAACTCACTTGTTTATAAGGCTGATCTTTTCCTCCAGCTTTTCGGCATAGTCACGCAGAATCTGCAGGAGATCGCGTTCTAAATTCAGCATTCCTAGAACCCGCTTCTCATCGAAGGCCTTGCAAGTGGGACAACCCAGGATAAGTAGCAGAATAAGTGGCGCAAGTGGTACAGCCATGACGATAAGGTAAACTGATATTGTAAAAAAACACACCTGTGTGGGAACTTAATGAACCAGCTTCAGCCTAATATCTGTGACTAAACGTTTTATGTACAATATAGTCTTTACAAAGCAAGAAAAGAGAAAACTAAATATTTTATTTAGTCAGCCATTTTAGTTAAAGCTCCAATTAGGTACATTATTCGTTTCTGATTGTATGTTTTTGCAAAACATTTTAATGATCAAGTTTGTATCCAATTTTGGCGACCGAAAAACCCTAAACAATTAACAATGCTTTTTTTAAATTATATTTAAATACAAAACTGTTGAACAAACACCAATATTTTAGCGCCCGACTAATAATTAAATGTTTGGGGTTTCGTAAACAATTATATTGTTGTTTAGTGCGTAGTGCACCTAGCACAGACACGAACCTAACCATTTGGTTAGCGGAGCTATGCTCCCAAAAAACAGTGCTGCCAGGCCTAAAATGAAGAAGAGAAAGAGAACACAAAATTCAATTTTCCCGCCAAAATGGATAAGCAAAAAAATATCGTTAGAAACGGGTATATATCGATAGTCTCTGCCGAACACCAATAGAACCGATATTTTGTAAACATCGATGACATCGATGTTGGCATTAATGTTCCTTCTCCTCCACAACACTCACATCTCTAATGAAGTAAACAAGCCAGACATCGCGGAATAGCTCGAAAATATGTCTCAGACTCGAGTGTAAGAGCAGTAAAATTAGAACACAGTAAGGATTTTTTAAATTTGTAATGTATTGCAGTGCAATGGACGATGACTTACTCCAGGCGGAAGTGTGCAACGTTTCGGACGACGAGGTTAAGCAAGAAGTAATTCTGGTGAAGAGCGAACCAATTCAAGAAGAGGTGTTCTATATTTCCGAATTAGAACCAGCCTATGATGACCAAGTGAAGGTTGAGGCAACAGAAACCGTTGTAGAAGGAGATAGATATGATGATGGAGATGAACTACAATCGGATAATGACTATAACGATAATTACGAGCCAACCGGCAACGATAAACAGTGCCCTTATTGTGCTAAGATTTTTCCAAAGAAATCTTGCCTAAGCCGACATTTGCGAACCCATACAGGCGAGCGACCGTTCAAATGCACCTACTGCCCAAAGGCATTTTCACAGAACTTTAAACTCAAGACACACTTGCGAATCCACACTGGTGAACGACCGTTCGAGTGCACCTTCTGCCCGAAGGCTTTTATCCTGAAAGTAACTCTCCAGAGACATATGCGAAGCCACAGAAGGAAAGGAGAAGTCGACCCACCGGTCGATACCAAAATGTCAAAGACCGAAGCGCTGGCCGTTTTGGTCGAGGGTCGACTTTCTCGATTCCAATACCAAGTGGTTAGGAATTCTGCTCCCGACAGGTTCCCATCATACAATGCCATCCAATCGGCGAAAAAAGAGTGTTATCCACCTGCAGACAGTATTGTTGTAGGTGAGACATTTTCACAAATTTCTCTTCAAGCTCTGCTCGATCACACTGCTATGCGTATAGTTCATTTAGAAGGCAAGAATATCGACACTTTGAGCCCGAGCCTGATGAAAAAAGTGTGTCTTTTTACAAAGTGGGGATTTAATGGAAGCACCGATCACAGTTCAGAAGCCAGCGATTCGTCTGTATTTATCACTTCTATTGTGCCCATTAAAATGACATGCGAAAACCGCGTTATATGGAAAAATCCTTGCCCTGGCTCAGCACGGTTTTGTAGACCTTTAAGAATTGAATTTACAAAGGAAAATTCCAGTGTTGCGCCAAAGGAAAGTAACCGAGTAGCGGAAGAAATTCGTGAGCTAACTAAGACTGTTGTTCAGATTTTAGGTGATGTGGTTGAAGTAAGCCATCAACTGATGCTCTTAATGATTGACGGGAGAGTTTGCAATGCGTTGACCGAAACAACTTCGCCACGAACCTGTTACATATGCGGATCAAATAGCAAGCAATTCAATAATATTGTTAAAATGTTGAAACGACCTGTGAGCACCAACAATTTGCGGTTCGGACTTTCAACCTTACATTTGTGGATACGGTTTTTTGAATGTCTCTTGCAAGTGGCCTATAAATTGCCCATTCAAAAATGGCAAGTTAAATCGGCCGAGGACAAAGATATTGTTAATAAAAACAAAAAACGTATTCAAAATGAATTTAAGGAAAAATTAGGATTATTAGTTGATGATCCGAAGCCTGGATTTGTTAGTACTAGTGATGGCAATACTTCCAGAAAATTTTTTCAAAGCCCTGAGTTGTCAGCAGAAATCACGCATTTAGATATTGACCTGATTAAAAGAATGCACACTGTGTTGATCGTCGTTGATCAGGATATAGATGAGGAAAAATTCGGACAATATGCGTTGGAAACTGCTAGCAATTTTGTTACTCTATATCCGTGGTATTATATGCCACTGACTCTGCACAAAGTGCTCATTCATGGAACAGAAGTAATTAACAATGCATTGCTACCAATTGGACAACTAACTGAGGAAGCCCAGGAAGCACGAAATATGGATGTTTTTAATAGGTTGCTCATGAGTTCAGATCCTTTACTCTCAAGCTTTTGTAGGAAAGCTCAAAAACAAATTCGTCAAGTGCCGAAATCGGCTTTAAAATTGTTAAAAGAAACTCCAAAGGCTGAGGACAGTGAAAATGCAATTGACTTTTCCGGAAGTAGTGATGAAGATGATATTGATGAATAATATGTGTGCTTTATATTTTTATTAATTTCTTTACTTTGACATAGTCTTAACAATTTAATAAAAATATACATGAGTCGGCAATAAATAACTATAAATTTTTACGCAATTTTATTGATAAACAACTGAAGTAACCTTGTTTGACCCTATCGTTCCTATGACAGCTTTAGTTGTATCCTTTGCCCGTTCGGTTTTATGGCAGCTATAGGATATAGTCATCCGGTTCATTACTTATTTTTTGTTGCTTTTAACAATGAGGGTTTGAATTTTTTTCTTAAAAAGCACATCATTCCCTGTGCTGCAGATAGTGGATTTTTCCAAATTTTAGTTGCTTCAAAATCTGCAAAATTAAACTGAAATTAACATTGCTCATTAACATATTATCGTTAATGTAAACATATATTTTAATTAATTATGTTCAAAATATTATAAATGCCGGTTGAAGTGCTTCAGTGTGACGATATTATCGCGGCTTTCGTTTGGCCATCACTGAACAAATCTAAAGGTATCGATGAAAAAACAGCTGTCCAATCGATAAAATCTAACCGAATTATTCGCAAACATTTTGTTAACGTTTTCGGAAGTGTCGTGCAAAAAAGAGTAATTACTATTATTCTAGTTGATAGCGAGTGTGTGATTGTGCCTCTCTTTTTCTATAGAACCTCTATGCTTTTTTACTGCCGGCTAGAAACAGTTAAAAACAGGATATAAGCAAAAAAAAAAACATTAACATAACATAATAAACGCTAAAGAACAGTGAAATCGACAGAAAAAATACAACATGCTGCTGCAGCGGAACAAGTAAAATTTAAAAGCGGCTAATTTTTAGCTTAACCTTTTATTTTTGTGTGTTCCATGAGTAATTTAATTAGTGTCCCGCTGTTTGCGTGTGTCTGCCTTCTATTTATTTCTATTTCTTTATTCTCCCCGTAACTTTGTTTTTAACCCGTTTTCCGTATTTTTCCAGTGCCCGCGAAGATTTTAACCAGGTTGATGGATTTCAATTACATGTTCTGTTTGTCTAACCAATTTTTTATCAATTGCGTGCTAACAAGAGATATAAACCTCAACCCCTTTTTGTACTTTTTCTACTGGAATTTGTGTTTGCATTTTATTTTTAGCCTCGCTTTTGTTGTTGTGTTTGCCGTTCTAATTTTCGTTACTTCATAGCCTTTTGTCTCTCCCCTTTGTTTTGCTCTCCACTTTCTGTTCTCTCTCTCTTCTCTGTGTTCAATAAGAGAGTACACCGAGAGATGTTTCTTAATTATATTTTTATCATTTTGTACGACATCCTATATGATTATATTTTGGTATAAACATACAAGAAATTTGTTAAGTGCTTGCCAGCGTTCTTTTAAATATCTCTCAAATGCTTACAAAGCTAGAAGAGAGAATACACTCTTCATTGCTCTTTGTTTTGTTCTGTATTTTCTAATGCCCACGTTTCGACTATCCCCTATTGCAACAAAATAGTTGCTAACATAAGAGTACCCTTTAAATAACTTAAAATAAAACTAAATTTATTTTGTTTACTTTTTAGTACTTCCAATGTATACAGTTACTTGTTAGTTTCCACTCAAAACGGCAACCAGCTGTTTCCCACCATCACCACCTCACTTCAGCGATCTGGCAACGCTGCCCAGCCCTCGCTTTTTGCGCTCCACGCTGCCCACAGTGATTCGCTTTTATTTATAATAAAAAGAAGTGTAAAAAAGTGCCGTCGCACTGGCTTTTTTATTGATTCGGGTTCCGAATCGGTGTTAATTAAAAGCGTTAATCAGTCGGGAAGCTCACTTTTGGTCAGTCGCCAGCGAGTTGCGCTCTTATCAACACTTTTCGCGCGTGTTTTCCCTGCGTGAGTGAGTCTGCTGTATACTGCATTTCCATTTCCAAGGAGGTTATAAAATATCGTGTTTGATAAAAGATAAGATAAAAATGACCGCTAATCCATCTAATTATCGTTGAGTGATTGACTAAGACACTTCCACACTCACATGCGCTGCGAGTGGAATTTAGGAGCACTCAATTGGCTCACGGTTCTTTGTTTGCTGTAAATATGTAACTAAATAATTAAATTGTGTGATAAAAGCTCACATGTAGCCAATTGAGCGGAATATGTGTTTATGGTTTTTTGGTCTCGAGCCAGATTAAGAATAGGCAACAACAAGAAAGCTAGTGGAGATAAGCCAAATCACTCAAATGTATCACTCAATTGCCCGACTTGTTGCCCTTCGCTCGAATAACAGTTCGAATAACTGTTTGCTTAGAAGGACACAAAGGAGAGGGTGAATTAATTTTGATTGCATTTTACTTGTCTTAATACAAGATTAGATTGTGATTAAAATCTCAAAGTTTAACAGATCCAGTTTAAAGTTTTGTTCGCAAAAAACATTTTAACCAGGTTATTGAAAAGCATTACATACTCAGAAGAATTCCTATTAATATTTAAGAAATATGTGTATATATTACGATCCTACCCAACACAAGGCCAGTTAAATTACAATTGTTTATAGATTTATTGTTATAACTTTTAATTTAGAAAAACAAGCTAGAAGCTAGAAAAAAGACTTGAATATATCTAAAACAACTTATCACCCATTTCGGATCCATAACGATGGAGGTCACTAACCCTTTGCCATATCACCACTCATCCTATCTTCTGTCCGCGGCATCAAAACTATTGGACTTTAGTTTCAGGCTTCCCCTGGTTAGTTGATTTAAATCGATGATGGACAGATATGGTTTGGGAGGTACATTCACGGGCAAAGGAACTTCGATGGTGACCGCTGCTGACCTCTTGCCTTTCACCACACCTCCCCCTCCATGATCACTCCCCGTTTTTAGGGCTCCCAAGGCGAAGGGGGAGTACTGATCGTGTCCAGGATGTTGGGAGCAACTTGCTGTGGCCGCCCTTCTGTAGTTTCGATAGCCACTGAAACAGCTGCTGCCGGGGGCCAAAGGTCGAGCGGGTGAGAAGCCTCCCTCGTCAGAGGAACCACCTCCTCCTCCTCCGCCGCCGCCGCCCCCTGAATCGTAGCAGATACTGAGGTTGGTGTAGGCAATGGGGGCGTGGCATCGCGGCGTTTTTGGTCGAGGCTTCACCTCGTAGCGGGTTTTCGACCGGGATCTCGAGTGGTGGGCATGCCGGTTTCGCCCCCGACGTTTGCCCCGGACCTCAGTCACTATCGGCATGGGCAGGATATTGATGAAGCGGTAGTACTGCAGCAGTGTCCTTGCCAGATTTCTGCCAACTCGGTAATCTGGAAGACGAATGGGGTTTTATTTGGTAGAACATTTCCCCGACATATACTCACATCCATCCTCGTTGTACAGGGATATGGTCTTGCCATCTTTCAGGAAGTGACCCGCCATGGAGACCTCCAAAGTGTAGGCATTCACCGTATCACTGAGTCTCTCGCAACTGAATCTCCGCATACTGCCCGCCTTGCGTTCATCCGCATTGAACATCGTGTGATCCGCCACGTAATCCGGAGCATTGCTGGCAAAGAGTCGCGGGAACACCAGGTGCCTCTCGTACCTGTAGACATCCTCGTATGTGTTCCCGTATATAAAGCAGCCATGCATGCTGCTATTGGCGTGCAGATCGATCACAAAATCAATCTGATAGGTCTGTTATAATGGTCAAAAATTTAGATTGAGTGAGTACGTTGATAACCTTGTGATACTAGACTAAAAAAAGCTTTAATACATTAAATTTGGATTCTTAACTTTACATAGCTACATGATGAAACAAATTAATTTGTGTTTTTTTTATGTAAATCAATAAATGGTTTAAGCAATTTAACCGCGTTGAAATAACGTACTGGGAAGTATTAAAAAAATCAACTTTATTAATCACCTGTCGATTTGATAGTAAAAAGTATTCATCTTATTTAATAAATATCTAATATTTTGTCAAACAATTTTGTATGATAACTTAAAACATGTCACAAGCCACTGAACACGAAGGTGGCTATCATTTGGTGCGACGATAACGTTGTAAAACATACCTTAAAGTTTCTAGCTGATGACTAATTAGTATTAGTCTGATAATTGTCTGAGATATGTTAAAGCGTACACAAACAAACATTCGATTCTAACATAACCAGTAACACGGGGACACTTAAAATACTGCCCTTAAATTTTCAACTCACATCTGAATTATCCAACTCCTTCAGCATGCCCTTCACCGCGTGCAATTCCGGCTGCGTGAACTCTGACCCAATGTGCCAATTGCGATTCATGTCCTGGCCCATCAGATTGCAGCGATTGTTGCCGAGGAACACCCCATCCGGATTCACCATGGGCACAATCTTGAAGACGAAGTTATCCCTCAAGACCCCGGCAATGGGGTGGTTGCCCACAAGGAACTCGATCAAACCCTGGCACACATGGGAGGCTGGGGCTTCACTGGAATGCGTTCTGCATAGGATAACAATCACCCGGATAAAGCTGCGATCCAAGCGATTTGTGGAGCGCTGTTTGGAGGTCACATGGTCGATGGTCAGCAGGTCCACGTTGCGATTTTGCTAGAACAACACAATTATAAATATCTTGGGAATCAATTTAAGGAAGATCAGCTTCGGACTCACCAACGATTTAATAAGCACACTCCGAGTGAACCGCTTATCTGTTCCCTGCCTGGCATCAATTACATTCAAATACGACTGCAGACGGGAGTAGCTATATGGCCAAGCCAATGCAAACTGGTAGACATCCTCCTCCTTGTCGAAAATGAAAGCAAAGCTTAGCACATAGTGCCCTTGATGCATGGCCGATCGGTAAAAGAACACCTGTCGCTTGGGCAGCCTTTGCCATTTAGGTCTACTGGAACTTTTAACCAACGGAGTCAGTCCCGATGAAAACAGATTCCTGCTCTTGCTGATGTTTACAATGTGGAAGAGCACTCGCTGATCTTGTTTCACATTGTCCACGGTGAAGTTGAACCAGAAGCGAAAGCGTGGATTACAGGTGTCTGGTCTCAGAAACAAATCGTACTCGAATTCGCCCACCAGCTCCGCCTTCCCCAGGTTTCCCGTTTCAAAAGCCGCATCGAAACAGAGATGACCTCTCTTGGCCTTGCCGCTCTGGCCGGGCGGTCGGATGATAACCCGGGAAACGTTGCCCAGACCGCCCTCTCCATCGCTGTCTTCACTGTCTGTAAAGGAACATAAACTCAAATGAATAAGATATGGGAATTCTTCATAAAGAAAATATAATCCAGAAAGAGAACTGAGCACTAAAAGTCTCAAATTCTGATTATAGAACTTGTTGATAGAAATCAAAAGCAGAATTGATAGGGTATTTCCAAATTTCTGAATTTGTTTCTAATCAGTTCTCTAAGCACAAACAGTCTAAAATTTCAATATATATACATTCTGATCTTAGAACTTTTGCGGTGTTCCTTTTTAAACTTGTTGATACGTATCAAAAACTAAACTAATAGTGTGTTTCCGAAAATACGAATTTGTTCTTGATCTTAGCCTCTGTAATCTATGTGACTATCACTCGCATCACTAAATTTGTAAACTTAGATCACTTTTAGTACCATCTGAGCCGCGTTCGTACATGCTCGTGTGCTGCAGTGGATCGCAGGCTATTCCCAACATGATGATTCCTCTTCGCTAATGCGTCTTTCTCTGGCAAAAATCTAGGTTTTTCTAATGTAACTGAACCGAGTGAAGTGGTCGTAATCCTTCGAGTTTTCTGCCTTAGCTTGGCCTGTCATAACTTTCTTGGCCTGAGGGGCCCAGTCCTCCTAAATCCCACCCAGCTGCTATCTTTAAACCAAGGCATCTTCTCCTCATCCCGCTACTAACTTCCTTGTGCCACATATGCGTGCCGCAAGTTTTCATTGCATTCGCTGCACCTGCCAACGCCTTTTAGGTGAGCTTCAAACAACTCGAGACGTCAAACGTCTAAAATTGAATAGTCGCCTCGCGGTTGCGTCGGCCCCCAGACTAAAACCAAACCAATCCTGAGTTGAGCCGCCGGTGGTGAATGTCTCGAGGTGTGAAAGGTCTTGAAATAGCTTCATTTATACTCTAACTTGGGGTCAAGTCAATGTATTGATCAAAAAACACGTCATGGCTCGGTAAAAATTAAATTAAAAGGGTTTGCAAAATCTTTAAATTTAAAAAACTTATTTCATATTCTTTCTACTGAAAATGATTTGTTTTCAATTTAAAATAATCACATAAATTACTTGGAAGCAATCCATAATAGCTCTTTGTTTAGCTTTGTAAATTTAACTTTTATTTCACTTGAGTAATTGACCTATCATATGCTTTTTCACTTTAGTGCATTTAATCCTCGTTCTGCTGGCGAAATTCTTTCAAACTCCTTATCGCTGGCGCACATTTATGGCCATTTCACTTACCTGAATCACCCATTTTGCCGCCTCAACCCATAAACTTCTCTTTGCTTTGCGGCTGCTTTCCTTGGAGTGTCAGCTCAGTGACCCGGGGCAGGATCAAAAATAGAAATTCAATTAGCCACCGCCTGCTTAGAGCTCCGACCTGGCCTTTCACTTTTCTCGAGTGCTCGAGTGGGGCACCTCAAGACGAGGAAGTCGCGTGCGAGGTCTTGGCGCTAGAGGTCGATCTCTATCTGCTAATCCTGGGCAGCTCCTGGTCGCTTCTCGCCGCTATCTCCGCACCGCACTGACTGCCTTGGAATCCGGGCTGCGGATTCCGGAACCGTGATTCGCATGTTGGCACTTTGACGTTGCCACGCCACTCACGTGTGTCGCCCGCTGTTTGGTCGATAATTCGCAGTAGTTTCCGGCTAGGGGCTTTGGTTCGCCTGTGGTTTTCGGTTCCGCCGCAGCGAGAGCAGTTCCCAGAGCTGGGCAGCCGAGAGGAGCGGCAGCAGGACCAATTGCGTTCAACCGGGGGCTATTTGGTTCACTGGGGCTAATCGATACGGTCGCACATCGCAACGTGGGCACCGTAACGACTGCGTGTGTGTTACTTTAACGATTATGTCAGTGAATGAACCCGGCAACACCCCATTTGCTTAACCCATAATACAGAAATAAAAAGCCTTAGACAGCATGTCCAAACGCAGGTAGCTTAACCCCTTAACCCCATTGTTAATGTTTTGTTATGGTTTTGATTTGTGCTTTCATTGTTTTAAATTGTATTAATCATTTTAATCCCTTACAGATTAGGCAGCGTAAGGCCACCAAAGCGTTGCAGGAGCGACATGGACAACACCTCCACCTCGGACATTGTCATCATCAATGGCAACTCGCATCCGGATCTGGCCAACATGGTGGCCGAGCGAATGGGCATTAAGAACGGTGGATGTTCCGTGTTCCACAAGTCCAATCGGGAGACAATTGTGGAGATAAGTGATTCCGTAAGAGGCAAGGACATCTACATAATCCAAACGGGCACTAAGTAAGCAATATGCGACTGATACTAATCCTAAGATTGACTAGCTTCTTCTTCGTATTAAAGGGATGCCAACAACAACATCATGGAGCTGCTGATCATGGCCTATGCCTGCAAGACTTCCTCGGCCCGTTCGATTGTGGGAGTGATTCCATACTTGCCATATTCCAAGCAGTGCAAGATGCGCAAGCGCGGCTGCATCGTGTCCAAGCTGCTGGCCAAGATGATGTGCACTTCGGGCCTGACGCACATCATCACCATGGATCTGCACCAGAAGGAGATCCAGGGATTCTTCGACATACCCGTGGACAATCTGAGGGCATCGCCTTTTCTGCTCCAATACATTCAGGAGAGCGTGAGTACTCTTTGGGTACTCTTCACTTCGAATGAAATTAAACTTAAGACTCGTTCAAGATTCCCGACTATCGCAACTCGGTGATTGTGGCCCGCAATCCGGGCGTGGCCAAAAAGGCCAACTCCTATGCGGAGCGACTGCGTCTTGGTCTGGCCGTCATTCACGGAGAACAGAAGGAGACCGATGCCGATGAGGTCGACGGTCGGTACTCCCCTCCACCGACCAGGTGAGTTGCCTTCCCCTAATCTTAAAAGCAGGCCTCGCTGATTATTTATTTAAGTTGTTCGGTCTTTTGTTTGATCTAGTAGCTATTTAATTTTGATTTGCTGTTAGCTTCTATGATTACTTACTGTGTTTCTAGAGCTTATTTCTATGACTGAAACTGAAAGACCTTGATATCAAATATCCTGCTTTTTGCACTAGACTCTGTTTCGTTAATTGAAGAGCACTCGAATGTCGATCATCCATTCCTCACCCCGTATTATATATCACCCATATTTTATCCCCATTGACACGTTTTAAAACATATAAAATAAAAATAGAGCATAAATGACTCAAGATTTTTTTGTAATGTGTACAATTTGCAAACGCATTTAATCTAATCGGATTAATACATATGTCACTGCCTCAATTTAATAAGTAACATAATATTGATCGATTAAAATAATCTTTATTAGCTGTTTTTGTAAGACCGCTAATGAATTGCTAAGCTAATTAGTTTGATAAGAAATCTTATTTTAAACTTGTTATTATTCATTTAGCGAATATTAGTACCCATACTTACCTATTACTTAAAAATGCACGTAACTTTCAATTGACAAATGCTTTGACATAATAGTTGCAGCTTCTGTCAGTGGCTTCTGTTCGTACTTCACAGCCAAGGCAGTCACTTAATTGCTATATCCGATAGATTGATTATTATTATTATTGACTTTTTAAGTGTTTTCGTAGTTTACGTTTTGGAAATGTTATTGTTTTATTTTTACGCTCCGCACATGCCACTATAAAAACCTCGAAACTTTTTTAAGGGCATGGGGAGCAGCCCACTTGTCAAAATTTCAAATCCAAAGAAACAGAAAAACAATCGAAATTTCTCTTTATTTGTGTTATGCAGTGCGTATAGCAATTTATTAGGAAATTCAGTTGAAATGTGCTTACCAGCGGCACCTAGGTTCGTATTTTTAACTATTGTTTAATTTTAGTTAAATTATAATTTTTTAATCAACTGCCATTTGTACTTTTTTTCCCCAACAACCACGCGCCACTCCACCAAATTTCCCCACCCACCCACATGATTCTTTTCTTTTTTGGTTTCGATAACGATTCGACCAATGAAATGCACCACCACTTCTACAAAAACCAACCCACAATGTACCACAATGTACCACAATGTACCACAATGTACCACAATGCACCACATTGCACCACATTGCACCACTCGAATCACAATCCTCGTGAAACTGCCGCACACTAACCACTAGAAACTCTACTCCACAACACGCCCCAACCAGCAGCACCCGGCAGCGAACCACCTCGGTGTCGGTGGGTGTTCCGGAGCACATTGTCAAGGTGAAGCCACCACTGACCATTGTGGGAGATGTCAGCGGACGCATCGCCATCATGGTGGTGAGTATTTGTTTCCACATGGAATATATATCTTAAGGGTTTTGTTATAAATTCCTACCTTTACGATCCCAGGATGACCTGATCGATGATGTCCAGGCCTTTGTGGCCGCCGCCGAGATGCTAAAGGAGCATGGAGCCTGCAAGATCTACGTGCTGGCCACGCATGGTCTGCTTAGTTCGGATGCACCGCGTCTGCTGGAAGAGTCGCCTATTGATGAGGTGGGTCTGGGAGTTAATAAGCCTGTTTCCTCATTTATAACTGATTTTATATTGCATCCCATCATAGATCGTTGTCACCAATACCATTCCACACGAGATCCAGAAGCTGCAGTGCCATAAGATCAAGACGATCGACATATCCATTCTGATTGCTGAGGCCATACGCCGCATCCACAACAAGGAGTCGATGTCCTATCTCTTCCGCAACGTAACGCTGGAGGATTAGGACGCATATCCACACACACACACAAACACTCACAGCCCCTAGTTCACCGCTTGAAGTCACAAAATTAGTGTTGCAACCGGCTCCGTAACGGGACGGTTTTTGTTTGTTTATCGCTTTTAGACTATCATTGGAAAGTGCGCCCAGCGGGCGTTTGCTCAAATAAAACCAAAATGGATGATCCAACATACTGTAGCATACTTATAGGCCCCACACTATACTCTACACTGTGCGTTCATCGAAGGTTAATCACTTTCTTCTAGTTATTAAGTCAAAGATCCCACAACTTTGTCCAAATAAAAGCTGATTGTACTCAAAACTGTGGAAAGTTTTGGGGCCTCATAAAGGTGCCATCGGGTAGCACTTGACGCTTGTCTTAATTTATGGCCCTCGTCGAAATGGAAACCTCTTAATTGAGTAGCCCCGTTCCAGGTCGTAAATCATCATATGGACGGACGCAAGTTGCAGCCGTAAATTCATCCGCTTTGCATTCTGCGCTGGCCTGTTCGGCAAATAAAGTACCAGACAGATGTCTCGCATCGGTCTTATTTGACAAATATTGTTGCGGAAACGAGTGCAGAGCAGATAAGATAGCGCATCCATCGCCGTGCAATTTCTCGTAACAAGAAAACCTAACCGGAGAATCCCGCTTAGGCAAGTGGCTCATACATAAATCATGGTCCATTAATCAAGCATCAGATATGTCAGTCCCTATCTTACAGCACCTCGAAGTCGGTAAATTTGCATTGCTAAATGCGTCGAGAGGGACGACTGAGGAATGCGGTTTCTGGCGGCGGTGACGAGATTGGATGGGATTCATAGACCCAATATTTGGGCCCTCCCATTGGCGCATATTTGCCAGGTCTCCGCCTAGGCCAAGTGCGATAAACTCCGTGCTGTTTGTCCGCCAGAAAGACAAACAGAAATTGTGCTACAGTTTTTTAGCGCGACACTTGCTGCCTTTTTTTTTTATCGCAAACAAAAACATTGTAAAGCTCAAGCTTATCCCACAAATTACAGGCACCTGCTGGATTTGAATTGAATTGAGTGGCATAAACAAATGCAAATCAAGCCCTAGTCGAGATCGAATGGGGTATCTCGTTCCCCTTTGAATTTCTCAGCCGCCTACGACGAGTCACGTGAAGCAGCCGCATTGCGCATACGCCATGTTAGCCATGCTTTGCTTTGCTTTGGCGTGCATTGAACCGACTTCCGTCAGGGGATTTTTTTTTTTTGTGTTTATACCTACACCACTCGTTAACAGTCCATCACATTTTACTTTTAATAGAGTCTGTCGGCTAATTTGTTTTATCATTCGCACAGCATTCCAATTGCAATGCCAATTGTTTGTACCCGATAACCGTTGACTCCGTTTGTTGTTTCCGCTTTTTGTTTCTCTTGTTTGACTTTTTGTTTATCACCCCGAAATTGATTTGTTAATTTGCCCGGCTTGTTGGCAGCTCATTAGCACGACACTTTGGGCCCATAAACTGATTGGCTCGAACGCCAACGCTTTAGCACCTCTCAATTGTCTAAAATATAATGGGTCATAATCTGGATTGCACGCTCCGATGGCTCCTGTGTGTGGATGTACTGCCCATAATGATTATTGGCTGCCTGCGGGGGGAATTGTATTCCCCAAATA